CTATGATATATGGTCAATTCTTTATTTTCAGTTTTCATGTAGATCATTTTACTGGATTCTATATGCCCAAGGTGATTAATGAATGCAGAATAATACAGAGTTCTAATAGGAGGATAATAGAAGCAGGTGTGCAAACCCATTATAATATAAAGCAGCTTTGATAAATGGAAGGTGACTTTCTATTATTTCCATTGATATTATTGAATATATTGAAGAACCAGTCTGGAGAGATACTGAAATTTAACCTCTCAAGAGAAAAATGCTTACTTGAATGCCAAACTCTAAATATTCACTTTTCAAATTAGAGCAGCTATGATATAGATTTCATCCAAAATCAGTTTCTGACTTCATAGTCAACCGTTCCAAAAAAGAAAAAGAAACAACCAGGCTAAAAAAAAGTCACTCAGTCCAAAATAAAGAGAAAAAAATGCAAATTTCCAGAAAGATTAATGAAAATTTCCTTGATTCAAAGCAGTGACATTCTGCTACTCTTTGAAAGAATGCTTTTTCTTCCTTCAAATTAGCTTCTCTCTAATAAGGGCCTCCTGATTGCTCATAGTGGCCCACCTCTTCCGGGAAAGTGCTGGGACCTGAGTCTCCATGGACAGATTCACTCTGCCTATAAGTGTCTGTCCACTTTTGATGTGACTGTGAGTTCCTGGGAAAGTCTCGTGACTGGCCATAGGAAGACCCATGTTGGTTCTTTGAAGTGGATCCAGACCTTCCTTGGGTGGTCACTGAATGCCTCCCTTCATCTCCTGAATATCCTTCACTGTCACTGGCCTGACTAACACTGGAGTCCCTGTGTCTACTGCTTCCAGTTCCAGTGGAGGTTTGTCCAAGGCCAGTCCCAGAGTGTCTGGAGGTGTCTCTTGATTGTTCCTGGTGAGTCCTCTGTCCGTGGGAAGTTCTGGATCCTGAGTCTCTGTGGACAGATTCTCTCTGCCTGTGTGTGTCTGTCTGCCCATGACGCGACTCTGAGTGAACTGTGGTGTCTCCCGACTGGCCATGGGAAGCCCCATGTTGGTTCCTTGAAGTGGATCCGGACCTTCCTTGGGTGGTCACAGAATGCCTCCCTACATCTCCTGAATATCCTTCGCTGTCACTGGCCTGACTAACACTGGATTCCCTCTGTCTACTGCTTCCAGTTCCGGTGGAGGTTTGTCCATGGCCAGTCCCCGAGTGTCTGGCGGTGTCTCTCGATTGTTCATGGCGACTCCCCTGTCTGTGGGAAGTTCTGGATCCTGAGTCTCCGTGGACAGATTCTCTCTGCCTATGTGTGTCTGTCTGCCCATGACGCGACTCTGATCGCCGAGAGGTGTCTCTTGACTGGCTATGGGAAGCCCCATGTTGGTTCCTTGAAGTGGATCCGGACCTTCCTTGGGTGGTCACAGAATGCCTCCCTATGTCTCCTGAATATCCTTCGCTGTCACTGCCCTGACTAACACTGGATTCCCTGTGTCTACTGCTTCCAGTTCCGGTGGAGGTTTGTCCATGGCCAGTCCCAGAGTGTCTGGAGGTGTCTCTTGATTGTTCCTGGTGAGTCCTCTGTCCGTGGGAAGTTCTGGATCCTGAGTCTCTGTGGACAGATTCTCTCTGCCTGTGTGTGTCTGTCTGCCCATGACGCGACTCTGAGTGAACTGTGGTGTCTCCTGACTGGCTATGGGAAGCCCCATGTTGGTTCCTTGAAGTGGATCCGGACCTTCCTTGGGTGGTCACAGAATGCCTCCCTATATCTCCTGAATATCCTTCACTGTCACTGGCCTGACTAACACTGGATTCCCTGTGTCTTCTGCTTCCAGTTCTGGTGGAGGTTTGTCCATGACCAGTCCCAGTGCGTCTGGAGCCGTCTCTTGATTGTTCATGGTGACTCCCCTGTCCGTGGGAAGTTCTGGATCCTGAGTCTCCGTGGACAGATTCTCTCTGCCTATGTGTGTCTGTCTGCCCATGACGCGACTCTGAGTGAACTGTGGTGTCTCTTGACTGGCTATGGGAAGCCCCATGTTGGTTCCTTGAAGTGGATCGGGACCTTCCTTGGGTGGTCACAGAATGCCTCCCTATGTCTCCTGAATATCCTTCGCTGTCACTGCCCTGCCTAACACTGGATTCCCTGTGTCTACTGCTTCCAGTTCCAGTGGAGGTTTGTCCATGGCCAGTCCCAGAGTGTCTGGAGGTGTCTCTTGATTGTTCATGGTGACTCCCCTGTCCGTGGGAAGTTCTGGATCCTGAGTCTCTGTGGACAGATTCTCTCTGCCTGTGTGTGTCTGTCTGCCCATGACGCGACTCTGAGTGAACTGCGGTGTCTCCTGACTGGCCATCGGAAGCCTCATGTTTGTTCGTTGAAGTGGATCCGGACCTTCCTTGGGTGGTCACAGAATGCCTCCCTATATCTCCTGAATATCCTTCACTGTCACTGGCCTGACTAACACTGGATTCCCTGTGTCTTCTGCTTCCAGTTCTGATGGAAGTTTGTCCATGGCCAGTCCCAGTGCGTCTGGAGCCGTCTCTTGATTGTTCATGGTGACTGCCCTGTCCGTGGGAAGTTCTGGATCCTGAGTCTCCGTGGACAGATTCTCTCTGCCTATGTGTGTCTGTCTGCCCATGACGGGACTCGGAGTGACCTGCAGTGTCTCCTGACTGGCTATGGGAAGCCCCATGTTGGTTCCTTGAAGTGGATCCGGACCTTCCTCGGGTGGTCACAGAATGCCTCCCTATGTCTCCTGAATATCCTTCTCTGTCACTGCCCTGCCTAACACTGGATTCCCTGTGTCTACTGCTTCCAGTTCCGGTGGAGGTTTGTCCATGTCCAGTCCCAGAGTGTCTGGAGGTGTCTCTTGATTGTTCATGGTGACTCCCCTGTCCGTGGGAAGTTCTGGATCCTGAGTCTCTGTGGACAGATTCTCTCTGCCTGTGTGTGTCTGTCTGCCCATGACGCGACTCTGAGTGAACTGCGGTGTCTCCTGACTGGCCATGGGAAGCCTCATGTTTGTTCGTTGAAGTGGATCCGGACCTTCCTTGGGTGGTCACAGAATGCCTCCCTATATCTCCTGAATATCCTTCACTGTCACTGGCCTGACTAACACTGGATTCCCTGTGTCTTCTGCTTCCAGTTCTGATGGAAGTTTGTCCATGGCCAGTCCCAGTGCGTCTGGAGCCGTCTCTTGATTGTTCATGGTGACTGCCCTGTCCGTGGGAAGTTCTGGATCCTGAGTCTTCATGGACAGATTCTCTCTGCCTATGTGTGTCTGTTTGCCCATGACGGGACTCGGAGTGACCTGCAGTGTCTCCTGACTGGCTATGGGAAGCCCCATGTTGGTTCCTTGAAGTGGATCCGGACCTTCCTTGGGAGGTCACAGAATGCCTCCCTATGTCTCCTGAATATCCTTCTCTGTCACTGCCCTGCCTAACACTGGATTCCCTGTGTCTACTGCTTCCAGTTCCGGTGGAGGTTTGTCCATGTCCAGTCCCAGAGTGTCTGGAGGTGTCTCTTGATTGTTCATGGTGACTCCCCTGTCCGTGGGAAGTTCTGGATCCTGAGTCTCTGTGGACAGATTCTCTCTGCCTGTGTGTGTCTGTCTGCCCATGACGCGACTCTGAGTGAACTGTGGTGTCTCCTGACTGGCTATGGGAAGCCCCATGTTGGTTCCTTGAAGTGGATCCGGACCTTCCTTGGGTGGTCACAGAATGCCTCCCTATATCTCCTGAATATCCTTCACTGTCACTGGCCTGACTAACACTGGATTCCCTGTGTCTTCTGCTTCCAGTTCTGGTGGAGCTTTGTCCAAGACCAGTCCCAGTGCGTCTGGAGCCGTCTCTTGATTGTTCATGGTGGCTCCCCTGTCCGTGGGAAATTCTGGATCCTGAGTCTCCGTGGACAGATTCTCTCTGCCTGTGTGTGTCTGTCTGCCCATGACGCGACTCTGAGTGAACTGTGGTGTCTCTTGACTGGCTATGGGAAGCCCCATGTTGGTTCCTTGAAGTGGATCGGGACCTTCCTTGGGTGGTCACAGAATGCCTCCCTATGTCTCCTGAATATCCTTCGCTGTCACTGCCCTGCCTAACACTGGATTCCCTGTGTCTACTGCTTCCAGTTCCAGTGGAGGTTTGTCCATGGCCAGTCCCAGAGTGTCTGGAGGTGTCTCTTGATTGTTCATGGTGACTCCCCTGTCCGTGGGAAGTTCTGGATCCTGAGTCTCTGTGGACAGATTCTCTCTGCCTGTGTGTGTCTGTCTGCCCATGACGCGACTCTGCGTGAACTGCGGTGTCTCCTGACTGGCCATCGGAAGCCTCATGTTTGTTCGTTGAAGTGGATCCGGACCTTCCTTGGGTGGTCACAGAATGCCTCCCTATATCTCCTGAATATCCTTCACTGTCACTGGCCTGACTAACACTGGATTCCCTGTGTCTTCTGCTTCCAGTTCTGATGGAAGTTTGTCCATGGCCAGTCCCAGTGCGTCTGGAGCCGTCTCTTGATTGTTCATGGTGCCTCCCCTGTCCGTGGGAAGTTCTGGATCCTGAGTCTCCGTGGACAGATTCTCTCTGCCTGTGTGTGTCTGTCTGCCCATGACGCGACTCTGAGTGAACTGTGGTGTCTCTTGACTGGCTATGGGAAGCCCCATGTTGGTTCCTTGAAGTGGATCCGGACCTTCCTTGGGTGGTCACAGAATGCCTCCCTATGTCTCCTGAATATCCTTCGCTGTCACTGCCCTGCCTAACACTGGATTCCCTGTGTCTACTGCTTCCAGTTCCAGTGGAGGTTTGTCCATGGCCAGTCCCAGAGTGTCTGGAGGTGTCTCTTGATTGTTCATGGTGACTCCCCTGTCCGTGGGAAGTTCTGGATCCTGAGTCTCTGTGGACAGATTCTCTCTGCCTGTGTGTGTCTGTCTGCCCATGACGCGACTCTGAGTGAACTGCGGTGTCTCCTGACTGGCCATCGGAAGCCTCATGTTTGTTCGTTGAAGTGGATCGGGACCTTCCTTGGGTGGTCACAGAATGCCTCCCTATATCTCCTGAATATCCTTCACTGTCACTGGCCTGACTAACACTGGATTCCCTGTGTCTTCTGCTTCCAGTTCTGATGGAAGTTTGTCCATGGCCAGTCCCAGTGCGTCTGGAGCCGTCTCTTGATTGTTCATGGTGACTGCCCTGTCCGTGGGAAGTTCTGGATCCTGAGTCTCTGTGGACAGATTCTCTCTGCCTGTGTGTGTCTGTCTGCCCATGACGCGACTCTGCGTGAACTGCGGTGTCTCCTGACTGGCCATCGGAAGCCTCATGTTTGTTCGTTGAAGTGGATCCGGACCTTCCTTGGGTGGTCACAGAATGCCTCCCTATATCTCCTGAATATCCTTCACTGTCACTGGCCTGACTAACACTGGATTCCCTGTGTCTTCTGCTTCCAGTTCTGATGGAAGTTTGTCCATGGCCAGTCCCAGTGCGTCTGGAGCCGTCTCTTGATTGTTCATGGTGCCTCCCCTGTCCGTGGGAAGTTCTGGATCCTGAGTCTCCGTGGACAGATTCTCTCTGCCTGTGTGTGTCTGTCTGCCCATGACGCGACTCTGAGTGAACTGTGGTGTCTCTTGACTGGCTATGGGAAGCCCCATGTTGGTTCCTTGAAGTGGATCCGGACCTTCCTTGGGTGGTCACAGAATGCCTCCCTATGTCTCCTGAATATCCTTCGCTGTCACTGCCCTGCCTAACACTGGATTCCCTGTGTCTACTGCTTCCAGTTCCAGTGGAGGTTTGTCCATGGCCAGTCCCAGAGTGTCTGGAGGTGTCTCTTGATTGTTCATGGTGACTCCCCTGTCCGTGGGAAGTTCTGGATCCTGAGTCTCTGTGGACAGATTCTCTCTGCCTGTGTGTGTCTGTCTGCCCATGACGCGACTCTGAGTGAACTGCGGTGTCTCCTGACTGGCCATCGGAAGCCTCATGTTTGTTCGTTGAAGTGGATCGGGACCTTCCTTGGGTGGTCACAGAATGCCTCCCTATATCTCCTGAATATCCTTCACTGTCACTGGCCTGACTAACACTGGATTCCCTGTGTCTTCTGCTTCCAGTTCTGATGGAAGTTTGTCCATGGCCAGTCCCAGTGCGTCTGGAGCCGTCTCTTGATTGTTCATGGTGACTGCCCTGTCCGTGGGAAGTTCTGGATCCTGAGTCTCCGTGGACAGATTCTCTCTGCCTGTGTGTGTCTGTCTGCCCATGACGCGACTCTGAGTGAACTGTCGTGTCTCTTGACTGGCTATGGGAAGCCCCATGTTGGTTCCTTGAAGTGGATCCGGACCTTCCTTGGGTGGTCACAGAATGCCTCCCTATGTCTCCTGAATATCCTTCTCTGTCACTGCCCTGCCTAACACTGGATTCCCTGTGTCTACTGCTTCCAGTTCCAGTGGAGGTTTGTCCATGGCCAGTCCCAGAGTGTCTGGAGGTGTCTCTTGATTGTTCATGGAGACTCCCCTGTCCGTGGGAAGTTCTGGATCCTGAGTCTCTGTGGACAGATTCTCTCTGCCTGTGTGTGTCTGTCTGCCCATGACGCGACTCTGAGTGAACTGCGGTGTCTCCTGACTGGCCATGGGAAGCCTCATGTTTGTTCGTTGAAGTGGATCCGGACCTTCCTTGGGTGGTCACAGAATGCCTCCCTATATCTCCTGAATATCCTTCACTGTCACTGGCCTGACTAACACTGGATTCCCTGTGTCTTCTGCTTCCAGTTCTGATGGAAGTTTGTCCATGGCCAGTCCCAGTGCGTCTGGAGCCGTCTCTTGATTGTTCATGGTGACTCCCCTGTCCGTGGGAAGTTCTGGATCCTGAGTCTCCGTGGACAGATTCTCTCTGCCTGTGTGTGTCTGTCTGCCCATGACGCGACTCTGAGTGAACTGTGGTGTCTCTTGACTGGCTATGGGAAGCCCCATGTTGGTTCCTTGAAGTGGATCCGGACCTTCCTTGGGTGGTCACAGAATGCCTCCCTATGTCTCCTGAATATCCTTCGCTGTCACTGCCCTGCCTAACACTGGATTCCCTGTGTCTACTGCTTCCAGTTCCAGTGGAGGTTTGTCCATGGCCAGTCCCAGTGCGTCTGGAGCCGTCTCTTGATTGTTCATGGAGACTCCCCTGTCCGTGGGAAGTTCTGGATCCTGAGTCTCTGTGGACAGATTCTCTCTGCCTGTGTGTGTCTGTCTGCCCATGACGCGACTCTGCGTGAACTGCGGTGTCTCCTGACTGGCCATGGGAAGCCTCATGTTTGTTCGTTGAAGTGGATCGGGACCTTCCTTGGGTGGTCACAGAATGCCTCCCTATATCTCCTGAATATCCTTCACTGTCACTGGCCTGACTAACACTGGATTCCCTGTGTCTTCTGCTTCCAGTTCTGATGGAAGTTTGTCCATGGCCAGTCCCAGTGCGTCTGGAGCCGTCTCTTGATTGTTCATGGTGACTGCCCTGTCCGTGGGAAGTTCTGGATCCTGAGTCTCCGTGGACAGATTCTCTCTGCCTATGTGTGTCTGTCTGCCCATGACGGGACTCGGAGTGACCTGCAGTGTCTCCTGACTGGCTATGGGAAGCCCCATGTTGGTTCCTTGAAGTGGATCCAGACCTTCCTTGGGAGGTCACAGAATGCCTCCCTTCGTCTCCTGAATATCCTTCGCTGTCAGTGGCCTGACTAACACTGGATTCCCTGTGTCTACTGCTTCCCGTTCTGGTGGAGGTTTGTCCATGGCCAGTCCCAATGCATCTGGAGCCGTCTCTCGATTGTTCATGGCGACTCCACTGTCCGTGGGAAGTTCTGGATCCTGAGTCTCTGTGGACAGATTCTCTCTGCCTATGTGTGTCTGTCTGCCCATGACGCAACTCTGATCGCCGAGAGGTGTCTCTTGCCTGGCTATGGGAAGCCCCATGTTGGTTCCTTGAAGTGGATCCCGACCTTCCTTGGGTGGTCACAGAATGCCTCCCTATGTCTCCTGAATATCCTTCGGTGTCACTGCCCTGCCTAACACTGGATTCCCTCTGTCTCCTGTGTCCAGATCCAGTGGATGTTTGTTCGTGGCCATTCCCAGAGCGTCTGGCACTATCTCCTGATTGCTCATGGTAGAATCCATGACTTTGTGTAGTTCTAGGTTTCGTTTCAGTGTTGGGAAAGGTGTTTCTTTGCAGAGTAGCCATTTTTATGTGTTTTTGAAGCTCTGTAAAATAAAATAAAATGTATTCTCATTACAGTTCCTTTCTGTTTCTGCATTATTATTCTTATAATTAATTTCCACATTTTAAGATCTCTGTATTGTTGGGCAGCTTTAATATTGTTAAAAGAAAAAGAGGAAAAAATTCTATGCTTTGCATCTTAATATTAGTATGGCTTTATTGAGTTACTAAATTGCCGATTTCTTGTCCATTAATTCTTAACAGTAGGAGCAATACATTGTCACAGACCTCATCAGTGTGATGTAGATAAGCATGTCATGCTCATCTGGCAATTTCTTATAGGAAGTTTATTGAAGGACCCTAACAGCAGCTAACTGAAATTTTCTTCATACGAATTTTCTGAAATGAATTTTCTAAAAGCTTATTTCCTAAATTATTAGTGTGTTGAGGTACAATTTGCTTTTAGTCAGTTTGCCAAATGCCCCAGCACTTAGTGAGTGTCAGCCTAGTGTTTCTTTTTTCCTGAATAATTCATGAAGTTTTCATCATTTTTTATTGTATAGTGTTTTTAATGTATTAAAATATATACATTTTTAATGTATACATATTGTATATGTAGAAATATTTATACAATATTTATATTGTATACTGACTTTCAGTATTAGAGAAAACTTTTTTTTTGCCTCTTAAGTAATAGCCTATAAGCAATGTTATTTTATCTCTTTGAGGAAGCAAGGAAGCTCCCAAGCATTATCAGTAAATCTAAATAAGCATTTATCCTATAATAATACTACATAAAATTTATTATAAAATGATAATTATATTATTTTATGAAAACATTATTTGAAAACAGACAAACTAAAATAGTATAGGAAACAACAATGTGTTAGTCATAGGCATATTAGTCACAGCAAAAGGCGTTTATGAACCTTGCCTTGTTTGGTAAGAAGAATAGGTGTTGATCAGTCTTTGACATGGTTACACATGTAATTTTGGTAAGTTTATTGGAAATCCTAACAGAGTAGAATTTATAACTTTTTAAGCATTAGAGGAAAAAGTGGAATAAAAAACACAATTTTCAGGCCAGGAAAGATCTGGCACAGTAAATGCAGGGTAAGGAAAGTGAAAAATGAGTAGAATTACATAATTTTATCATTAATTACAGTACATATAGTAGGAATAAGACTGCAGATCAAAAGGTAGATTCCAAACATTGTTAAATAAAGTTATATGCTTCTTACAAAATAACACACCTAAGATTTAATATTTTTTCATTCTTTGTTGTTTATGGTAGTATTCAACCTTGAGCTTGATTGTAATTACAGTGTCTCCAAAATCTTAGTCTCAAGAATGGCACACTGACTTCCTCTAATACTCTGACTTCAGTCATTCTTAGATCTCGCTGTCTGTTTACGTTCTGTGCACTCACTTTACTTTTTTCCTTGGTTGGCGATTATGTTTAGTCTCTCTCAGTGTGCCTTTGCCACTCCCTCTATTTCTTAACCTACTTTTTGTTATACACACTGGGGAAGCTCCAATGGCTTCTTATTTTCCTTTATTTTAGGACATATCCTTGATGTGGGGGCCTTCTCTGGTGGCTCAGACAGTAAAGAATCTGCCTGCAATGCAGGAGACCCAGGTTCAGTCTCTGAATCAGGAAGATCCCATGGAGAAGGGAATGGCTACCCACTCCAGTATTCTTGCCTGGAGAATTCCATTTTATTTACTGAGAACTTTGGATCTGTGACAAAATAATTTCCTCATTTTTGGCAATGTCTGATCATCCAACCTATTGCATTTATGTCCATATAGCTTAACCTTCACTGCTGTTACACAGATAGATTAACTGTTTGTACTTCTGTCCTTTATTTTGGCACTGGACCTGACTCTCTCTTGACTGTTCAAACTGCTTTTTCAGTTGTCCACTTCCATGAGTCATCAATTTATCTTTCTCTACTGGATAATTTCCTTCAGCATATACTCATGCGGATATGTCTCTTATTGAACACCCTCTCCTGCTGTCCCACATAGTCCTTGAGGCATGACCTGATTTATATTTTCTCTTTTATAGCAAAATCACTCAAAATATAGGCCCATATTTTCTTTCTTCACTTCTTATTTTTTTAACTCAAATTTTCTTTCTCTCTCAAAAATTCACCAAAACTTGTCATGAAGCTAAAAATTCCCTTCACCTTACCAAATCCACCTATCCATTTTCATTTCACAAATTGCTTGACATGTCAGTATCATTTGATGCTGCTTGCTACACCCTCCTTTAAAAAGACCTGACACTTTCTTGTTTCTCCTTTAGCCTCACTACTCACTTTCTCTTAGTCTCCTCTTTTGGCCCCTGATGTTGATATTTCTTGAGATTCACTCCTAAGCTTCTTTTGTCTTTATAGTCCATCAGAGGATCATCTAGCAGTAAGTCTGACAGATGAATTTTCAAAAGAAACAATAGAAGCCAGAAAATATTCTCATCTTTCTGTAGGAAAGTAAGTTCTAGTCTAGAATTCTATACCCAGTGAGAGTATTCATGAAAAAAAAAGCCTAAGTAAGGATATTTTCAAGCAAATAGATCTGCTATGAAGGAAAATAAGCTGATAAACATTTACTATGTTCAAAAAAGTCAAGAAGAGGGAAAAAAATGAAAAAAATGGGAAACTAGAAAACAAATAGCAACATGGTAGATTTAAAACAATAATCCAAATCCACTGACTAACAAGTGGGCTAAATAATCTAATTTAAAAATAATAGTTGTCAGATTGCAAAAAAAACAACTATGTGTTGCTTACAAGAAACGTACAAGAAACGTACATTAAATATGATAAAAATGGTTGAAAGTTAAAGGAGGAAATATATACTGTTCAAAAACTAAAAGAAAGCTATTTTTTGCTGTATTAATATCTGTATAGTAGACTTTCAAACAAAAAGAATTACTAGAGGAATATTTCATAATTATAAAAAATTCACCAAGAAGATATAAAAAAACCTAAATTTATATATACCTAATAACATAGCCTCAAAATACATAAAACAAAAATTGATAAAACTATGAGGAGAAATAGGCAAATGTATAATCTTAGTGGGTTACATACTGCTATTAACAACTGATAGAATGAGTAGACAAACAAATTGTAAGGATATAAAAGCTTCCACAAAATCTTTGATAAAAGCATCACCTAACATATATTGAACATCATATCCAAGAACTCCAAATTACACATCCTTTTAAAATGAACACGAAACATTTAAATTTTCCTATATGCTGGGTTATAAAGCGAATTTCAACAATTTTTAAAGGATTGAAATCATACAGAATTTTCTACCACAGTGAAATGAAGCTAGAATTCAATAATGGAAAGACACTGAGAAGAATCTCCAAATGTTTAGAAAGTAATAAATTGTTTCTAAATAAGAAATGTGTATAGAATAAATTACAATGTAAATTAGAAAATAGGTTAAGCTAAATGAAAGTGAGAAAAATGTGAAATTGCAAAACTTATGGGATATATTAATTCCATGACTAATGAAAAATGCATAGTTTAAATGCATATATTAAAAAAGAAGATAAAAAGGCTGGAAAGTCAATAACTTAAGCATACATCTCAAGAAGTTTGAAAAAACCCTCAAAGTCGGCTCAAAGATAGTATAATGAAAGTGAAGTGAGGTCGCTCAGTCCGACTGTTTGCGACTCCATGGACTGTAGACTACCATGCCCCTCCGTCCATGGGGTTTTTCAGGCAAGAGTACTAGAATGGGTTGCCATTTCCTTTTCCAGAGGATCTTCCCAACCCAGGGATCGAACCCGGGTCTCCCGCATTATAGGCAGACACTTTACCATCTAAGCCATCAGGGAAGTCAATAAAAATAAGAACTGATATTAATGAAAGAGAAAACAAATGTCGAAAATCAACAAAGCCAAGATTTTTGCAAAAATCTAGTAAAAATGAGAAACCCTGAAAGATTAATCAAGGAAAGAGTAAAGGCATAATTAATTAGTATCAGAAAGATAAAAGGGACATTGCTATAAATTTTACAGACAGTAGAAAGGTAAGTGTGTAATATTAAAAAAAAACACTTTATGTGAAAAATGTTCAAATTTAAGTGAAATGGATATATTTTCAGAAAAACACTTCACACCAAAATGAAAGCAAGAAGAATAGAAAACCTAAATAGAATTTAAAACCTAATAGAATTTAAAAATTCTATTTTTAAAAGAAATTGAATGTTAAATGAATACATTTCCAGTGAAGGAAGGTGGGAACTGCAGGTTAGATGAAAATACTTGTGACTTTTACTTAACTGAAAGTCATTCAGTTGTGTCCGACTCTTTGGGACCCCATGGATCGTAGTCCATGGAATTCTCCAGGTCAGAATACTGGAGTGTGTAGCCTTTCCCTTCTCCAGGGGATCTTCCCAACCTAGGGCTCAAACCTTGGTGGATTCTTTACCAGCTGAGCCACAAGGGAAGCCCAGCAATAGTGGAGTGGGTAGACTATCCCTTCTCCAGCAGATCTTCTCAAACCAGGAATTGAACTGGGGTCTCCTGCATTGCAGGCGGATTCTTTACCAACTGAGCTATCAGGGAAGCCCATTCCAAGTAATACTAACATCTCATGGATTATTTCAGAGAAATGAAAAAGGGGAAAGACACATTTTACAAATCTAGTATAACTTAAGTACTCAACTTGACAAAGATATTACTGGAAAAAAACTTTTTATGACAATTTCTTTTGTAAATATAGATGCAAAAATCTGAAGGAAAAGAATTAGTAAGCTGAATCCAGTGTTTATACATCATACCTAATTAAGTTTTAATCCCCAGACTCAAGTTTGGTTTAATGTTTGAGAACTGATTGATTAAGTACTCTAATAGTACTTAATCAAATGGGGGAAGTTTTTATGACCCTCTCAAGAGATGTAAAAAACCATT